CTGACTCAAGGGGGTGGGCATGGGCAATATACGTAACCTTAATATTTGTACTCCCATAATATGCTGAAATAAAAAAATTTAAAAAATTAATTGGTCAACTAAAAATATATAGAAAAAAATTAGCTGGGCATGGTGGCACATGCCTGTAGTCCCAGCTACTTGGGAGGCTGAGGCAGAAGCATTGTTTGAGCCCAGGAGTTTGAGGGTGCTGTGAGCTAGGCTGACGCAACAGCACTCTAGCCTGGGCAAAAAGTGAGACTCTGTCTCAAAAAAAATTTAAAAATTAAAAATAATAATATCCATTCTTCCCTTCCTCTGAGAAAGATATCCACCAGAACTATCTGTATTTTAAAATCTAAGAGAAGCTACAGAGAGATTATTAGAACAAATAAAAGAGTTTTAAAAAATCAATCCAAAAATAACATTTGAACTTCTATAGACCAACCATATATATTGGAAACTATAATAAATCTATTAGAAACAAAAACATAAAAATATGCATGAACAGATCTAACAAAATATATGAAAGACATTTTATTAAATAATAAAGTTTTGTTAAGCATATACTCTATGTCCTGCTCTGAAGATACAGTGGTGAACAGGATTGACAAAGCATCTGTCCTTATGGAGTTTATATTCTCATTGAGAAAATTACAAAACATTATTAAAGGATGTTAAATAAGGCCTGAATAAATGGAAGGATATACCATGTTCATGGATGACAAGACTCAATATTGAAAACGTGTATTTTCCCCAATTCAATCAGGATTTTTGAGGGATTTTGTGAAAACCAAAAGAACAAAGTATATGTGTTAGGGTAGGGAGACACTTCTCTGCCTATTAAGTCTTATTTTAATGCAGGGAGAGGCAAAATATCAATGGAAAAACCTAGAGGCAGACACAGGTGTGTGTGTGTATGTATGCATGTGTACACCTAATGTACAATAGAGGTGGCATTATAAGTCAGTGGACAAAGGGTTGAGGACTCAGTGAATGACACTGAGAAACTTACTTTCCATAGATTGAAAATCAGATGCCTAATACAAATGGATTAAAGCACAAATATGATAAATATTTTAGGCATATATATGTTTATATTTATGATATCAGGGTGTAGAAGTATTTCTTAGATAAATAATAATAAAGCACTACTCATAAATGAAAAAAATTAATCTGTGACTACCTCGAAATTTAAACTGCCACGTAACAAAATATATGGGAAATTCAATTAAAAGATAAGCTACAGAGTAGGAGGAAATATATACAACATATATAACAAAGGACTGTTGCTCAAAGTACTCCTACAAACCATTAAGAAAAAGACACCCCCACCTCTACCTCTCGCAAAAGAAAAGAAAATGGGCAAAGACATGAATAGGGAATTTTAAGCAGAAGAGACTCAAATGGGTGGTAAGCCAATTGAGAAATGGAAATTAAAAAATTATATGATTTGAAATACATTGGCTATACAAAAATAACATATATCAATATTTTTGTGAGGCCAAGTGTTAACAAGGATGTGGAGAAACAGAAAACTTTAAATGCTATTCATACTTTGGGAGGCAATTTAGCAATATCTCACAAAGTTGAAAATGCACACTCCTTACAGCTCAGAAATTCCACTAGTAAACATATATCCTATAGGTCCACTGAATACAGGTACATGACCCCATGGAGTATCTTTCATCTTATAGCTAATGTGCAAGGTGACAACCTTCCCTAAATAAATATTTATCCTCGGTCCAACGTTGTAATTTTAAGGGAGTTCCTTGCCATTTTTTTTTTTTTTTTTTTTTTTGAGACAGAGTCTCGCTTGTTGACCAGGCTAGAGTGAGTGCCATGGCATCAGCCTAGCTCACAGCAACCTCAAACTCCTGGGCTCAAGCAATCCTTCTGCCTCAGCCTCCCAATTAGCTGGGACTACAGGCATGCGCCACCATGCCCGGCTAATTTTCTATATATATTAGTTGGCCAATTAATTTCTTTCTATTTATAGTAGAGACGGGGTCTTGCTCTTGCTCAGGCTGGTTTCGAACTCCTGACCTCGAGCAATCCGCCCGCCTCAGCCTCCCAGAGTGCTAGGATTACAGGCGTGAGCCACCGCGCCCGGCTTCAACATTCTTTATAATTGTGGAAAATAGTAGAAACAATCTAAATGTCCACTAATTGGGTGATGGATTAATAAAATGGGATATATTCTAACAATAAAATATTATATAGTGATAAAATGATCCAGAGCTTAGATAGCCCCCAAATCTATTTTTGAGCGAATAAAGAAAGTTGTAGAATAATAAATGCTTTTTTTAAAGGTTACAATTTGTGTTAATTATAAATACACATACAAAAGTGTATTCCATATTCTTTTGGGTACATAGGTATTAAGAATTTCAAAACACAGACTTAAAAGCTACATACCAAATTTATTATAGTAGTTTCCTCAAGGAAGAGAGTGAAGGAAGTAAGGAGAAAAAGGAAACTTAAACTACTTCAAGTTTATCAGGAATATTTTATTTTATTTAAACAACAAGTTGAAACAAACAGGTCAAAATATCCTTACCTGGATTTAGGATTCTTATTTTTCCCCAAGTGAAAAACACACAAGCCCCAGCAATAATATGCTAGAAGAGGTTTAGGATGCTTTGGTAATGCATAACAGTAGGGTCTAAACAAGTCGAATTAGGGTCAGTAAAGACAGGGGGAAATGGGAGTTAGCCTGGTAGAGAGGGCCGAAGAGGGAACAATGCATGCAAAGCTGGAAGTCAGAGAAGGCGAAGTGCATTTGAAAAAGTGAATTCGGATCAGTGACCAGCAACTAGTGGGGAAGAGAGGAGAAGGGAGAGAGGCTGCCAAACCTGTATGTTTTTGTTTGTTTCCTTTTTTACAGATGTGGAAACAGAGCCCTAGTGAGGGAAGTAGAACCCAGGCTCCCTAACTCCCTGTCAACTGCTCCATGGTAATGGTAATGACTATGATAAGAACAATGGTGTATTGTTAAGAAGTTAAGAAACTTGCTCAAAGTCACAGTGGCAGAAGCCAGATCCCACACGGCCCCATGTGCTAAGCAGGCTGGGCAAGTTCCTAAGGGCGTTGGTGAGTGCATGAGTCTCCCAATGTGCTTGTAATTACCTCAAACTTATTGACTTAAAACAACACAAATGTATTTATCTTACTGAGGTCAGAAGTCTGAAATGGGTCTCACTGGGCTAAAATGAAGGTGCCGGCAGGGTTGTGTTCCTTCCCGAAGTTCTAGGAGAATGTTTCCTTGGCTTTTCCACCTGGATTCCTTGGCTTCTGTGGCATAGATAGTGATTTTCAAAGCAGGGAACGTGGGAGTCATCCTAGAATTCCTTCCCTTCCCCCACGTCCAATCCATTTGCGAGTCCTGCCAGCTGCAGGGCTGACATATTCACATAGGCTAAGTCCATTCCCTTCTTTCCAGCCTCTCCGGTCCCCCTCTGTCGTCTCTTTAGGGCTGCCACAGGAGCCCTTTCCAAAGGGGAGGGTCAGTAAGGGGCCAAAGTGATTGGCTTAAGATGTAAATCAAATGCCGTGGCCTCCCGTGTTACATTTTCCCATTGGCTTTTCATCATATCGGGGAGAAGAAAAACTTTAACCCCCAATCATGGCTGTAAATGCTCTTGTATGCTCAGCTCCCGACTCTCCTGAGCCTCATCTCTTTCCACCTCCCCTTGCTCAGTAGCCTCCAGTCCCATCAGCTCTTCACAAAGGGTAAGTTTCCCCACCACAGGGCATTTGCTTGTGCTATTCCTTCTGCTGCAAATGCTCTCTCTCCACTCTTTAGCTGGTCCTTCGTATATGTCAGGTCTCAGCTCAGGCTACTCTCCCTGCCTCCCCTTTGTTTCCTTCACAGTAAACTGTGACCATTTGTGAGGCTTTATTTGTCTATTTGTTTATTTTGTTTACCTTTCCTCCTAGATCTGAGATGTCCAATATGTAGCTACCAGCTATTATATGGCTATGAAGCATGTGAAATGTCATTTGTCTGAATTGAGATGTACTGTTTAAGTATAAGATACACATCAGATTTTGATGACTTACTGTAAGGCTGGTGGCAGACGCCCCCCCCCACATCAAAAAGAAAAGGCTCACGAGACCAGACCCACCAAGGACAACTGCCAGGGCCCGCTGAAAACAACAACACCTGTATATCCACCCAGATAAGAAAGTTTTCTGTTCTTGTATTTGTAAATACCACCAGCCCCTCCTATTTCTCAATAACCGAGGAAGGTCACAGTGGAAAATCCCCAGCCCTTCCTGCCAAAAAGTCCCTAGCCTGCCCAAATAGTACAAAGGCCCGCACCCCCTCCAAACGGACCCGACTTCTCGGCTCCCCTCTCTTGGGACTCTCGAACCTCGCCCAGGAGTGCTCAATAAAGCCACGTTGTTTAGCCCCACTCTCTCTCTCTCTCCCTCTCTCTGTTTCTTTCGCGGCCGGAATACCTTACACTTACTACAATAAAAAGGATATAACATATTTCACTCATAATTTTTAAGTATTGGCACATGTTGAAACAATTTTGGGTATATTGAGTTAAATAAAAATATTATTAACAATTAACTCGGGCCAGCTCAGTGGCTTACGCCTGTGATCCCAGCACTTTGGGAGGCTGAGGTGGGAGGATTGCTTAAGGTCAGGAGTTTGAGATTAGCCTGGGCAACATAGTGAGAACCCATCTCCAAAACAAACAAACAAAAAACCTGATTGTGACTCATTTCCACTTTTTTATGTGGCCACACATGTGACTGGCATTAGATTTCTTTTGGGCAGTGCTGGTCTCAACCATCAGCTAATGAAAGTAGAAACAATCTTTACTTTATCCACTTCTATGCCCCTACTACTTACCATATAGTAGATGCTCAGTGAGAGTTTGCTGAACAATTTGGTTTTTACAAGAACCCTGGGCACAGAGAGCCGAGACGGGCAGCCCCATGTGTATTGTGAACTTGAGGAAGGAAGAAACATGAAGGAAACAGTTTTATTTTTCTCCAATCACTTTATTTCAAAGGGACTCTGTCTCCTCTCTCTGTCCTGCTCTGCACCCACAGCCCCCCATCACAGCCACCTCCTACTATAGATGGGGGGTGGGAACGGTGGAGGTGACAGCCGGAGGAACAAAGCTGGTTCAGCTGCTTCTATTTCAGTCCCATAGGCAGTGTCTGGTCTCGATTATTTTATAATACACTCTTCAGCTTTGGTCCTAGTAGCCAGGAAGGGCTCACGGCAACATGCTGAGACATACAGATAGGGTTAACCGGGGCTCAGAGGCAGTTTCCCAACGCCAGCCAGAGGCCAGCAGGGCCTCCAACCTTGGTCCCCACACTCAACGTTCCAGGACTCTTGCCTCTCACTACATCCTGCTGTAGTCTTCTTTACTCCAAGGGACCCGGGTGACTGGAACCCTCCCACACCTCCCTCTCCCAACACTTACCGTGATTTCTCGGGGCCCCCAGTGGCAGTTATGGCGGGACCCAGCCGAGCTTACCCAGATGGCTCTGTGCTCACTGGGGCCAGCGTGGATGGAGGGAAGGGGTGGAAGGATGAGGGATGAACGATGAATGGGTGGATGGAGGATGGGAGGATGGGTGCGTGTAAGGACGGGTAAGTGGGAGAGTGGGAGGATGGATGGTTGGATGAGCGGGAGAGGAGGAAGGCTGGCTGGGAGGACGTCTGGGGGGCGGGGGCGTGTTACGGAAGGAATACCCACTTTACTTGCCAGTCCAGCCCCCATCACGCTGCCCCAGGGCCGGCGGGGAGGTCCAGGCGGAGCCGGAACTGGGATGGGGGTCTCTCTACGACACCCCCCAGCCCGCCCGCGCCTGACAGTGCCAGGGTGGGGGGAGCGCCCCGCCCCCACCTCCGGAGGTGGCGGCCCCACGCGGCCCAACAAGCTGCCGTTGTCCCACGGGCCGTGGGCCCGGCACACTGGGGCTTTGTCCGGCCCCCAGCCGCGACCCAAGGGGGGGCCCCACATGACCGAGGGGGTAGGAGGAGCCTGCGGCGGCAGCGGCGGTGGCGGCGGCAGCGGCGGCTCCACCATCATTTCCCTCCCGGGCCGGGGGTCGGCGGGCGGTGGCGGCGGCGGCTGGGCAGGGCTGGGCAGCGCAGCGGACGTCGGGCCCCCCATTCCCCGCCAGGCTGCAGGCGCCCGGCCTGGGCCATCAGGGCAGCTGTGACCGGAGCGCTTTCCGGGGGGCGATCTGGGGGTGCGCCCGGCCCCCCGGCCCCGGGATCATGGGGAATGGCATGACCAAGGTAGGGGCACGGGGACCGCGCAGCCCTCCCTGGCCGCCCCCAGCCCGGCCGGCCGCGGCGCCCCCGTCTGACTAGGTCGGTCTGCCCGCCTCTGACCTTCCGGGTCTCGCTGAGTCTTGGTGTGGCTACATCTGTCTCCCTGTGCCTCTGAGACCGCCTCGGTCTGTGTCTTTGCCTCTCTCTGCTCTGTATGTCTGTCTCTGTCCTGTCTCTGTGACTGTGTATCTCTTGCTGTGTCTTTCTGTGGCTCTGTCACTCCCAGACTATATCCCTGTGAGTCCCAGGTTGTCTGTCTCCTTTGGACTCACAGTCTGTCACTGTTTCTCCATCCTTCCCCCCTCCCTCTCCCTGGCCCTCCACCTGTCCCTGTCTTCCCCCTCCCTCCACCTAGGATTCCCACCCACCCATCCTGCAGGTCCACCTCTTTCCTGGCCGCTCCTGCTACTCTCCCCCTAGGTTTATCTGCCCCTCCCTCCACTTCGCCGCAATATTCCTCCTTTTCCCCACAATCTTCCTCCTCTTCCCTGTCACTATCCCCAAGCTGACCCCCATGGTCCCCCACCATAGTTAACTTGCCCCTCTCCCACCCTCCCCAGAGCCCCAGAACCCTCCTACAGAGGCCCAGGGCCCATGAAAGGGAGGAGATGGTCCCTGAGTCCTGAGGTCCAGACAGCTTTCATGGGACAGAGAGGGGCCATGTGCCCCCCAGCAGCCGGGGGTGGAAAGGGGGTGCAGTCTCTGCCCTGCTGACCCCTGTCTGTCCTTCCTGTAGGTACTTCCTGGACTCTACCTCGGAAACTTCATTGGTGAGCAATGCCCACTTTGTCCCGAGGCCATGGCACTCTGCCGGTCGCAGGCCTGTGTCCACCATTCATGCCCTGGCCCACGCAGCTTGGACACGCTCAGGAATGGGCTGGGGGCAGGAAAGCCTCGCCAGGCTGGGACGGAGAAAGGGTTGCTGGAGGACAAAGAGGTGCATGGGTGGGGGAGTGTCCCCAGGCCTAACGGCACAGAGGTGGCATAAGGGGTCTGATGCTGACACCTTCCATGTCCCACCACGAGGTCAAAGAGACAGCACCCAGGGCTCAAGACCTAAGCTGTGGACCTGGGCGCATCTACACCTGCTCTGAGCCTCAGCCTCCTCCTCAGCTCAAAACGTCCACCTGCCTCTAAGGGCTCTTCTGACCCTGAGGTTCTTGGTTGAGTTCTTTTGTGGGGTCTTCCTCTAGCTGGGAGGCTGAGGACCCTTCCCCCACAGTCTCCTCCTCAGAAGAAGAGACACCTCTGGAGGCCAGAGCGGGGCTGTCCTGAAGGCAGTGTCCTGACCACCAAGCCCACACCCCCCAAACCGCTGAGCAGCAGGGCAGCCTGTGCAAGGGGTGCTGAGCCTACAAGCCTCGCACTCATGCTCTTGTCCATCTCTCTGCAGCCCTCAGTCGGGGGAGGGGGACACAGATGTACAGACACCCTGTTGCTGCCCTGGAGGCCTCAAGCTTCCAAGCTGGTGGGGGGAGGCAGAGCTGAGCACAGGTCTTTGGCTGCAGGGTGGAAAACGTGCTGAGAGACAGCCGGTCTGCGGCTTGGGGGCCCAAGGCGGGCAAAGTCACTTCCATGTGTAGAGTCAGAGAAAGCTTCAGACAGGGAGGGGCCCCGGTGCTCCACCCTCATAAACCCTGGTCCCTTCCTTCCTGGAGCTACCACAGCAGCTCATGTACATCGACTTCTCTGAGCATTTGGCTGAGGAAGGTCTGAATCCCCTTTAAACGTGTAGGCTGCATGAGGGCAGGGGCCATGCAGTTGACCCCAGGGCCCGGCCAGTGGCTGCACACAGTAAACCCCCAGGGAATGTTTGCTGAAGGAGGGGGACATGTCATCTAGTCTCATTATAAAAGGGCTGTGTACACTGGACACCCAGCCCCTAGACATAACCACTGACGGCATTGCCGGTGTATCCCTGGGTTCCTTTTCATATATCTTTGTAGATACGGTATGTAAAACTAAAGTGGGAAGCTATTCTGTGCAGTGTTCTAGAAGCTGCATTTCCCACTTAAAAATTTATTGTAGGCATCGTTGCACATTAGCGTATAGAGCTCTTTGTAATGGCTGCAACATATTCCAGAGTATGGAATTCGTATTATTTACCCAGCCCCTGCTTCATGAACACTAGGCTGTTCCCATTTTTAAACTATTTCTGATATAAGCAGTACTACAGAGAACATCATCTTCTACACACGGCTTTCTATGTGAGAAAAAGCTCCTGGAGACAAGATTCCTAGAAGTAGAATTGCTGGGTCAAAGCAGATGCTAGGGAAAGAGCACATGAGCAAGGTTGGGAGGTGCAGGGCCATTATCTGTGAGTGCCCCAGAAGCCAGAGGGGCAGGGAGCTGGAGGGGGGCGCCAAGGTGGAGTGGGAGGGGTGAGGAGGGGAGCTGGCATGCTCCATCCACACTTGGCCTTCAGGAACAAGTAAGTCACACCTGCCAGATTGGCTCAACCATCCTGTTTCTTTCAGATGCCAAAGATCCGGATCAGCTGGACCGGAATAAGATCACCCACATCATCTCTATTCATGAGTCACCCCAGCCTCTGCTGCAGGTACTCCCTGTCCCCATCCCGGGGCTGTGCACTGGTGGGGTGGGGGGGCTGCAGGCAGACCCATTTATCAAGCACCTACTACGTGCTAGGATGAGTTTCCCATTGCCCAGCTGGATGGCTGATTCCAAATGGATGACTCTGGACTCTGTGTCTTGCTGTGCAACCTTGGGCTGGGACTTTACCTCTCTGGGCCTTTGGTCCTTCAGCCCTGTCTGCCCCCAGGTGGCTGTTGTGAAGATGCTTTGCACCCTGTAAAGAATGGCCCCCACCAGAAGGCTTATCAAGTCCTGGGAAGGGGGTGTGAGGGTGTTAGGACCCAGAGGATGAAAGCAGGAAATCAGACCACAGGTGCTAGGGTCAGGAGACTGAGTTCACATCTTCACCATTTACTGTCTCTGTAATTTTGGGCACAAGACTTCACCTCTCTGAGCCTCAGTTGTCTGATCTGTAAAATGGGCATTTTATAGCAGTACCGACCTCACTGAGTTGTTGAGAGCCACATAACAGGTGTTCAACAAATGACAACTGAAATAATAACAAAGTTAATAACATTCGCATCCCATAAGCAGAGCCCCTTCCTCCTATCTGTTAGTCTGTGTCATCCACTGAAGAGAAAGAACCTGAGTGGGAAAAGGCTCTGGAGATCAGAGACTGAGACCAGGTTCTGCCACAGACTTGCTGTGTGACCTTGGGCAGGGTTCTTCCCCTCTCTTGGCCTCAGTTTTCTCATGTGTCAGATTGGATGGTCTCTACAAGCAATCTCCAATAATCTGTGATTTTCAGTGTTATTCAGAAAAGAAATTTCGAGGCCTCTAGACTCTGATTTTGTTTTATGGGGCAGCCTTGTTTTGAAGTGTTTGGAGTAAGCGGTCATTAGATTGCACGGGGAAGGTTGTCAAGTCGTGAATGTATTTACTAATGAAAGGACAATTTACATGAGTCCCTGCTCCAGCAGCCATGCTCTCTTCCCTCCTGCGTCTCTCCCTCCCCCTCCATCAGCAAATTTACCAGTCAGCCAGGGTTGGATAATACCATGTAAACCCAAGGCCAAATGTGTCGCAAAGTGAAATTGCAAACCTTGCAAAAGATGCAGGATTTCATGACCTTGGGGAATGTGAGTTGGAAAAGGACGGGAAGCTCATACAAAGCCATGGACAAATGAGGACCTGGCTGGTGGTCCCTTATGCTGGCCAGCGATGGCCCAGGCACCTGAAAAGAGCCACTTGAATATCAGAGTGGTAAGAGAGGTCCTTGAGAAAAGCAATGAGCTCCTCCGAAGATGGGCAGAAATCATCTTTACGATATTGTATAGAAGCAAAGGATGTCACAGCAAGTTTGTTGGAAAAACCGCTGACAATTTATTCCTTGGTTATTCTAACAATTAGCACATAGTTTAATAACCATAATTCATGAAATGTAAACCTGTTTTCATTATTTTCTTTTCAAGATAATCAAATCTTTTACTGTATAATGTTGTAATCCCCGTTTAGAGGGAAGCCACTTTAAGTAGCCCTTTCCCAGCTCTTAGATAAAAGATCCCTGGGTCTTTTTTATCGAGTCCTCGTGCCCACATCACCTATGGGGTTAGGAGATGCCATCTGCTCAGAAGGCTCAGGAGTCACAGATGGTCAGAGCTGGGAGGCCCTCGGAGATGGTGTCTGCTTTCTCTGGATGAAGAGGACACCAGTGGACCAGAGAGGGGCAGGAACTAGGCTGCGGTCACATAGCCCTTGGGCGGCTCAGGCTAGGGGGAGGAAGGGTAGCTGGCAAGCTCCCCCGGCCTGAGCATGTTTGTACTTGCAGGACATCACCTACCTTCGCATCCCTGTGGCTGATACCCCTGAGGTACCCATGTAAGTTCCCCTGGATGG